TATGGCATTTTAGCAAAGCTATCATGACGTAGTTAACCTGTACATTTGTACCCAATAATCTAAAAGGTCACCTGTCCATCAGATTTCATTTCAAAAATTCCAGCTTTATCATCATCACCCTCCAAAATTTTCTGTTTTCAATTCTGAATGTGTAAATTTCTTCAAAATTTTACAGTAATATCCATGACAGTAAAGAATCTATAATACATTCATCCTAATTTTATAGAAACTACACAATTTGAAATGATTTATAAATTCCTATAGTTGAAAAGAGAAAATAAGCATTCAAATATATTTTGTATAGGTGTTGCCCTCGACTCCGTTCACGTTGACTTCAGTTTTCAGATTTCATATATTTCATAACAGCAAAAAGTTCTTAATTATCTGCCTCTCATCAATTCATAGAAAAACCTTTCAGAAACTATAAATATAATTAATCACAGTTTCAGTCGAAACAACTGAACATTCAACAAATGTTCCTCATGATTCTTTAAATTGGTATAACTATTTCTCGAGGACGTATTTGAACACATAAAGCACTGAATGTTTAGTGAAACTCACAATATATCAGTGAAAAATTCATCCGAATCGATTGAAGTGTTTTTGAGATTAGCGCACACAAACCTGCAGACAAACAGAGAGCAATGAGTTACACTTTTATTTTATTTATTGGTTTCAATGGCAACTTATAGCGGAGTACTTGTGTCAACTGGTTCGTTGATATAATTGCAGTGCAAATCCATACCGGATACGGAATATCTATGAATAAAAAATCAATATGTTATACAGAGTGTGTCAAAAGTTCCAGTAATTATGCACGTGTCGAATTCACTGACCCAATCATAGATAATTCACAAATGTTCAGTTCGTGTGTAACTTCTTCACCAAAAAGTCTATAATTTACATCTGGAAATGTAACCAAAGTACCAAGCACAACTAGTACCCTCTGTATAATGGAAATTAAACCAAACAGATATATTATTTAGCACACAAAAAATACTGAAACACAGTTGGGTGCTAAATTATGTGATGAATACCAAACCTAACCACCAAACCTAACCACTAGGTTAGGTTTGGGCAAAAGTGAGTTTTTCATGTCAGATGGTAAAAGTGCGGCTCTGACAAACTCTGAAAACTTGATTCGATCCGATGTGGGGTAGGCACAAAGTATGTGCTCTGCTGTTTCATCATTTTCCAAACACAAGCGACATACACTGTCTTTCGACAGTCATAATTTCGACAATGACCTGTGAGAAGACCTGTTAGAGATCGTAGTTCATCCCTACTGTAGTCCAACAACTGTATGGTTTCAAGGTTCGAAGGATAAATGAAGGCCTTGAGTGAGCCAATCCTGAAAGATTTTGCCAGAAGTCCAGGAATATTCTTGCCATCCAGGTGTTCAATGTTGGTTTGACAAAGCCTAAAGCGATGCCAATGACAAGTTCTTGTCCGATGAAGGGAAAGTGACGTTGAATCGTCAAATTTTCTCCTTCTGGTGAAGGGGAGTATTACAATTTTGCTGGGATTAACAGACATTTGCACTCTCTGGTACCAACTGTAAACAACGTCCATCGTACTTTGGGATATATTACAAGCTACCCTTTCTGACGTGGATCTTGCCAAGATGATAAGGTCATCTGCATAAGCTTGCAGATCTACTTCTTTTTCTGTCAAGGGGGTCAAGCAGACTATCCATCAGGAGCGACCACAGAAGGGGAGATAGTACCCCAAATTGCGGGCAGCCCCTGATGACCTTGAACCTGATGGCCTCGTCTTGAAGAGTCGTAGTTCTATTCACCAACATGGCATAGATTCAGCCAGTTATGATCGATTCTATGCCTTTTCTAGCCAGGAATGATCCTCTAGATTTAGGTAGTACATTGTCAAATGCTCCTTCAATATCGAGAAATACAGCAACCCTTAATACCCTTAATCAGTGGAGGTAATTCAGAGGTTTGAAATATTTCGGGAAATTTAAAGGAACCTCTTCATACTTGACATTCTTCATGTTTGCGAGACACTCCAGGTAGAATTCGTAGCATGGGGCCGCAGTGTCGCAGTCTGAAAGTGTGAAAACATACCTCTTTTCCAAAGCTATGTAAACACTCATTCGTCTCGACATTGATAGCAACTTCTGAATAGTTTTCATGAAGGCTCTTGTGATAGAGTCGTCGTAAACAGCTGAAACAAATAAATGAATTTTATTGAATGGTTCTGAATAAGAGATTTCATTCATTTTATTTATTGTGTAAGATTTGAAACATTTCCACAGGTATTTTTTACACCTCAAAGTGTTAAAATAAAGGTTTTGTGTTGGGAAAAAACTCCAGTAATATTCAAATATAGGTGACATACGATAGAAAGTCGCCTGTTGATCTTTGTTTCCGGAAGTCATATTTATGATCGCTCAATTATGTTAAAGCTTTCCAAATATTTAAGGGTGTGTTCGTTTACGACTTTCTCCGTGATTTTTGTTATCATTGATAGCAAGGCGACTGGTCTATAGTTATTTGAAAGGTTTTGCATGCCCTTTTTGGGAATGGGCTGAACGCGAGCAATCTTCTAACAAGAAGGAAAAACCCGTGCAGGTTGAAAAGTGTGTAAAATAGCGGTGCGAGTTCATAGACTCAATTTTTGAGAACGATGATGGATACTTCATCAGGACCAGACCTTTTGTTGATATTAAGCTGTTTAAAAATTTGCCTGTGTGTGCATCCTTTCTTAACACACCATTGACTTAGATCATGGCTTTTCTTTTGATAATGTTAAAATTTTAGATTCAGAAAATAATAGTCAAAAAAGGACTTTCTTATAAATATGTCATATTTAAAAATTTAAATACTATTGATTCCAGGACAGACATTGAAAGTCTCAGCCTGATGTATACTTATCTCCTTCGCTTAAATAAAGATAATGAATTCGATAACAATTAATAATCTCCGTAAAGGAAACTATTTACCTTCACTATCTGTTAGATATCATTTTATAGTTCTGTGAGATCTCATTGGCAGCACTGTAATCGTAGGAACAAGAAATTCTGTTGAACACTTTCTATCAAACTTAATGTTTTGTATCCGACAACCTGTTGAGTTCAATTTCCAATACTTAATTTTAGATTATTTGTGTAATCATCTCATGTTATCATAAAAATAATACGTAATGTTACACGTTTTTAACCAATTTTAATCTTGACATACAAATATGAGAATCCCCTCTGTTACCTCTTTGCAAACTTCATTTTAACCTCAGTTTCATGAGTATGAACACGTTGTTCATTCTTTGTTTATTCAAGTCTCATTTGCCATATTCTGGTGCTGTCAGGAGTTTTTCAACTAGACTTTTTCCGTGAGAATTCGTTTCGTTTCGTTTTTATTTTTAAATGGTTCAAATTAGGCTACAGGTTGATTAAAAAGAACCACTGGTAACCTCATTTGAACCCATAATAAAACTTATTTTTCCACTTCCGAGTTGCAACAATAATCGTGGCAACATGAACATATTGCATTTCCACCTTCTTCTTTGATTCAATCAGTTGTTCTACAGTCTTTTTTTAAGCGTTACTGTGTATGTGTGTGTTTCTCTCTTTCCGTTTTTGATTGTTTCATTGAACGAATCAGTTTTCACTTTTTGAACAGCTGTTTCTATTTTCATGTCCTTGCTACTTATTTTTGCCGTTCCTAACTCTTCCTTACTTTTTTTTATAGCAACCAACTCATCTTTATATGGTGTGCTAGTCAGTGTGCAGCTGATGACATGGTGTTTTGACGCTGACTTGAGAATTCTTTGGAAGGGTTCATATCGCTTCAAAAATGTTAGTAAATGTGTTATTTTGAATAAAATAGTAAATGAAGATGTATCATCCTGACTATTCAATTTTGTTTGTATTTTGTCTTCGGATATTTTCTGAGTTTCAGACAAAATAGTGGATTTCATAAACTACACCTCACGATTTGATCTCCACAAACTTTATTTGAAAAATATATCACATGTTTCGCTAACACAGTAGCTTTATTAA